GGAGGGGATGCCCCCCTTCACAGGCGTTTGAGGGCGATCTCCAGGCGGTGCCCACGGTTATTCCCAGTCACTCTCCTCCCAAGGTCCCTTTGCTCCAGCCCAGCCGCCCCACTCGTGCCTTCTGGGGGTTACTGCTTTGTAACCGATCTGTCTTTTGTCTCCCAGACGCTCGAGGAGGGGGCTGGTGTTGTCGACACACAGACTGCCCCGTGGGTGCCCGTCCGAGGCTGGGGGCGAGGAACAGCGGCCCCTTGTCCAGTTCCCATCAGCAGAGCTCAGAGGCGGCTTCCGCCCCAAACAGGCAGGCCCGGGATGCAGCGCAGACTCCACGCGCAAACCGGGATCTGCGCGTGTGGCCACACCCTGGAGCGGGCACAGCTCCCGATGGCTCCTCCTGCCCAGCGCTCCTGCGTGGACGGCCCCGTCTCCTGTCCCCACAAACCACCTCCTTCTGCTTTTCTGAAGGAGCCACATTCCAAAACTAACAAACAACAAGAACAAAATGGCATAGTATGAAAAACAAGAGAAGGAGACCAAGCTGTGTTTCTGACCGAGGAGACCTTTCGCTCAGTTTCCTGCTGTCGCCGCCGGGCAGGCAGCGTCCGCTCACGTTACTCCCACGCGTGGACGGAAAGGCCACGGCTGTTCGTGCATCGACCTGCAGCCTGTGCCTTTGCGGAGCTCAGTTAGTAGCAGGAAAGCTCTTTGTGGAGTCTTTAGGAACTTCTGTGTGTAGGAGCATATCGGAAAATAGACATGATTTTACTTCCTTTGTTCCAATTTGGAGGCCTTTTCTTTCTTTTTCTCTCATCTAACCACTCTAGCTGGAACATCCGGCGCCGTGTTGAATGGAAGCCGTAAGAGGGCGCCACCGCTGTCACCGGGCTCCATACGTTTTGCTAAATGAAGTTTTATTTTTGTGCGTCTCCATGTGTTTTCTGCCTGCCCCGTGGTTTCAGCCCCGTGACACACTGGTTGTGTAACAGTGTGTTGCTTGGTTTCCACACGTCTGTGAATTTTCCAGGTTTCTTTGTGGGACTGATGTCCAGCTTTATTCTGTCGTGGTCAGAGAAGATTCTTTGTATGGTGTGTTTCTTTTTAAATCTGCGGAGACTTAACTGGCGGCCTGGCACACACTCTACCCCGGAACGTGCCGTCTGCGCACGTGAGACAGCTCTGTGAGCTGCTGGGGGGCGGGGGGGGGGGCACGTGCCTGCCTGTGGAGGCCGGCGGGTCATCGTGCCGAGTTTCCCGTGTCCTCACCGACCTCCTCTCTGCTCATTCATGATGCCGATTTCTGCGGGGCGTGTACTGAAGTCCAGTTACTGTCACAGAACTCTCCTTCAGTTTTGTCAGTTTTGGCTTTATATATTTTGATGATATGTCATTAGGTATGTAAATGTTTACAATTGTTACATTTTCTTGCTCTCTTGAACCTTTTATTAATGGATAGCGCCCTTCTTTGCCTTGTGTATTTTTCATCTCAAATCTAATTCTGTCTGGTGTTAGTGTAGCCCCCCGGCTGTTGTCGTCACTGTTTGCACGGAATGTCTTCGTCACCCTTTCGCGCTCAGCCTGTGGTGACGTTGGCTTCCAGGTGCATAGGCACCTGGCAGGGCACAGTTGGGTCACATGTTTTTATCCATTTACTTCACCAACCTCTGTCTTTTTATTAAAAAGTTTAATCCATTTACATTTAAAGCAATTACTGATTAAGAATGAAATTACTTGTCATATTTCTGTTTGTTTTCTGTGTTACCTTATAGGTGTTTTGTCCCTTATTTCCTGCATTTGTCTTCTTTTGTGTTTAGTTGATTTTTTGTAGTAAAATATCTAATTTCCTTTCTTCTTTTCATGTCAGTTCTACAGCAGTTTTCTTTGTGATTTTGCCACGTAGAGTACATTTATCTTCGTAAAGTTAGAACGTTCTGATATCAATTTATAGCTGCTTAACTTCAACAACAGACAAAAACCCTGCTCCTTTACAGTTCTAAGTACACTCTAAGTGCTTTGGGTTGTTGATGTCACAAAAACCACATCTTTATACATGTGTGCCCCCAAACATACACTAACAATGCTTGTAAATGCTTTAGTCTTTCAAGTATTGTAGAAAACAAGATTTGATGTTGCAATTCAAAGTAACAGTAATACTCGTTTTCAGACAAATTATTTTTTCCCTCTAAATTTTCCTTTAAGCGCATTGTCTCTTTAACCCTGGAGAGACAACCAGTGCGGTTACAGGCCTTCGTTGTACTAACAGTAGCGTCTGTAACTGCACATGTGTCTACCTTTTCTGAGATCTGTATTTCTCCACATGGCTTCGAGGTACTCTCTAGGGTCCCTTCACATCACCCACGGGACACCCTGGAGCATTTCTTATGGGGTGGCGGGCTTGGCGCCCACAAACTCCTCAGCTTGTGTTTGTCTGCGAAGATCTAGATTTCTCACAGTTTTGCTGGATACGAGATTCTTGGTTGGCAGTTCTTTCCCTGTTAGTGACGCTTTACATCAGCCCACTGCCTCCTGTCCTCGAAGTTTCTCACGAGAAACCCGCAGCTCACCTTACTGAGCCCCCACACCCTGTACGAAGTGGCCGTCTCCGCTCTTGCTGCTTCCAAGTCTCTCCTGTGTTTGTCTTTTGAAAGTTTTATTGTATCGCGTTTCGGTTTTGGTCTCTTTGACTTCATCTTACTTAGAGTTTGATGAGCTTCTTGGATGTTTCTAGTCAAGCATTTCATCAAATTTGGGGAATTCCAGGCACTATTTATTCAACATTCTCTCCACCCTGTTCTTTCCACCTGCAACTTCCATGATGCGCATGTCGGTGTTAACCTAAAAATAAAGGCCTTTTCAGAAAGAGAAGCACCCAGTGTTTATGTGAGATTCAGGAAGCACTGATTCGGGCAGAAGCCCAGTAGGGTTCCGGTCAGGAAACCAGGGCAAGGGGTGTTTATGAGAGGGGAGGGGGCGATTGTGTCCTGGAAGGGGGACGTTTCTGTTGGTGCCAATGACATGGCAGTGACGCAAGTTCTGAGTCATCCGTTTAGTATCCTAACAACTGTCCCCTTGTTGTCTCTGCAGTTTTCAGGGGCTCCAGTCTGCTGAGGCCCTGCCCGTTAGTTTGTCCGGATTGAGCATCCAAAGATTCGAGACCTGAGACGTGCAAGCCAGTCCCTCTGGGTGGCAGCTCGGCTCCGCGTTGAAGGGGCCCCGTCTGTGTTATGCTTCAGGGCGTGCTTTGTGCGGTTCTGCAGGTCCTGAGGGACTGTTCGTTCACTATTCTTCATTTTTTTAAAAAGATTTTACTTACTTTTAGTGAGAGGGGAAGGGAGGGAGAATGAGAGGGTGAGGAACATTGATTGGTTGCCTCTCGTATGTGCCCTGACTGGGGACCGAATCCACAACCCAGGCCTGTGCCCCAACGAATCAAACTGTTGACCTTTTGCTTTGCAGGACGACACTCAGCCCCCTGAGCCACACTGGTCAGGGTTCGGTTTTCTTCTTTTGACTTCTCAGCAATGACAGTTTACATTGAGCTCCCCGATGTAAATTCACCGATTCCTCCTTTTGTGTGTTCAAAGCAACATCTGGATCCCCCTGGTGAATTTTTCATTTCAACTGTTGGTACCTTTCAGCTCCAGAATTTCTGTTCGGTTTCCTCTTAGATTTTCTTTCACTTAGTGATATTTTCAGTTTATTCACTCATTGATTTCTTGTCTTCTTTTCAGCCTTTTCACAGTTTCTTGTTTTGGTTTTTTCCTTTCAAATGAGCCATACTTTCCTGTTGCTTTGAATTTCTTGGGTGTTTTTGTTGTTGCTGCTGTTGTTTTTAGCTGAACACTGGGCACTCGTATCTAATGACTTAGCTCTGGAAATCAGAATCTTCCCCTTCCCCAGGGTGCGTGTATTTTTTTTGTCATTAAAAGCATTTTTTGTAGGGTTCTCTCTGTGCCTGGAATCAACTTGAGGTGTGAACACAGTGTGTCTTCGGGTCTTTTCCGAGCTGTTCCCTGCGGAAGGGTGGTCACTGCCTGACTTTCCTCTGGGTTCTGCTCTGTCATGTGCGGCTCCTGCACACTCTCCCTTTACATTTCCTGGAAGCCACGCAAAGCACCAGGGCAGGAGCCCGCTGCAGGGCCGGGGCAGGGGGAGGGCAGCCACAACCCTGCCCACCTCTCGGTCCTCACCCCCTGAACCAGCAGCAGCAGCCAGCCCCCAGCATCCACCCCCAGTGCCTGGAGGACAGACTCTGGTGGCCTCCGTTGGCTCCCACCGACTGGGCACGAGCCGTACCGTGAGCAGCGCACAGCGGCCTGCTGGGGCTGGGGAGGAGGTTGCCCCACTTTGGCACTAGTAGGGGGTTGTACTAAAACTGACCACAGTTAGATCCAACTCTTCTTCCTGGCACTGCAAGCCTTCAGTGCAACTCCAGAGTTCCCAAATAGTGGCCTCAGACCACGTCGGCCCTGCAGCTGCCCTGCTGAGGAGAAGGTCTTGGTGCGTCCTTGGCATCATCTTCCAGGGGCCTGGCAGGCCCTCATCACCCTTCCGTCCCCTGTTAATTCTCTTCCTTGTGGGGCCTGGTCCAGGTCTTACCTTCCCTCATTTCATTGGCTGGTATGGGTCGATTTGGAGATGTGTAGAAAGTTAATTGCACTTGAACTTGGCCTCAAATGTTTGCCTGGTGAGTACTGTCGGGCCAGCTCCATGGGCACCAGGACAGCTGTGCAGGTGGCATCCCGGGGGCTGTTTGATCCGTAACAGTACAGGGGAGTGTGACAAGGGCGAGAGCATGAACAGACAGATCCCCTCGGAGGCACTTGCGAGGTATGTGTGCGGTTCCGGGGCTGGTGGTGGGGAAGTGGCTGGATGGTGAGCGGCAGCCACAGACGGAGCCGAGCTATATGGCAGGAAGCCTGGGCTCCGGGTGTCCCCGCTTGGTTTGATTGCGCTTTGTCCTTGCATGTCCCCTGTTCTGACTGTCCCCTCTGCTCTTCCAGAGGAGGCCGAGCACGGCCTGGCCACTGGCTCGCTGTCGCGGCGCAGGAAGGCACTGGCGCTGCGGGAGGAGGGGCCGCGCCGACGCCCGCACCTGCACATCGGGCTCCCCCACGACTTCCGTCCCGTGTCCTCCATCATCGACGTGGACATCCTGCCCGAGACGCATCGGCGCGTGAGGCTGTACCGGCACGGCTGCCAGAAGCCGCTGGGCTTCTACATCCGCGACGGCACGAGCGTGCGGGTGGCACCGCAGGGGCTGGAGAAGGTGCCTGGAATCTTCATCTCGCGCCTGGTGCCCGGCGGCCTGGCCGAGAGCACCGGGCTGCTGGCCGTGGACGACGAGGTTCTGGAGGTAAACGGCATCGAGGTGGCAGGCAAGACACTGGACCAGGTTACGGACATGATGATCGCGAACAGCCACAACCTCATTGTCACGGTCAAGCCGGCCAACCAGCGCAACAACGTGCTGCGCGGGGGCCGCGCGTCCGGCAGCTCTGGCCGCTCCTCGGACAGCGTGGGCAGCCGCCACAGCCTGCCGGCCCCCGCGCCGCCCGGCCTGCACCCCGACGACATGGAGAGCGACGAGGAGCCCGACGTCGTGCTTGAGGGCACCCTGGAGCCCCGGCTGGTCCCACGGCTGCCGGGCAGCCTCACCCGGCTCAACGGCGCAGGCCCGGCCTCTGGACCACCCGGCCTGGGGCGCGAGGGCAGCGTCCTCAGGCTGCTCAGCTCGTTGCGCTCCGACCCCCGCCACAGCCTGGCGCTGCCGCCGGGCGGGGTGGAGGAACACGGCCCGGCCGTGACCCTGTAGCGTCCTGGCCGCGGCGGGGCCGCAGCCCCACTTCTCAGATGTGCACTCTCGTTTTAAAATAAGAAACGAATTTGTATGTGTTACCGTTCCTTCTGTGTTTTTATTTATCCCTCCCTTGTCTTCCATAACCCTACTCTTTGTTTCAACCTAAGGACAGAAAGTAACGATACAGTCTATTTTTATAAATTTCTCCACAAAAAAGGGCATGCGTGTGCGCTCCAGGCCAGTACAGGTCCAGGGCTAATTTTTAAATTTCAAACACTTTATTTTTAAAATGAAGCTTTAAGATTACTTTTTAAAAGGACGAATTCGTGACTTTAACTTCAGCCACGCAGACACACGCTGCTTGTTGGCACCGAGGCTTCCCTGCCCGCGGGTCCTGTGGACCCACCCACACGGGAGGTTCCGGCTGGTTTCCGACAACAGATGCGGCCGCACCTGCAATAGGTGCGACCATAGCAGATGAACCTCCAGCTTTCATTGTTCGAGGTGCTGTTTCAAATAGCCAAGGGGGCGCCGAGCTCCCAGACCTCACGGGGAAAGAGAGGGCCCCTGGGTGGTCCTGCTGCGGGGACCGCGGCCCAGGGCCAGCGGGTGGGCGGCCGGGACGAGGCGAGCTGCCCCGCGGTACCGGGTGGGAGGAAAGCCAGTGTTTACTTGGAGATAAAAGCCAGCCCTTCCCACGCGTCGTGGACTCCGAGTGCAACTCGTAGGACATTTCCCCAGGACTTCGAAAGCTCAGACATGTGGACATCTGGGTTATCTTCGTTTTTAAATAACAAATCATATAAAACGTGGTGATTTTTAACACGGACTAAGTTTATTGTCACTTCACTTTGGTCTTCTAGCAATATTTACATATTTAGTAATTTTGAATGTTTATTCATGTTTATACCAATGAAATTTTATATGAAGTGTATATTGTTTGAATCCGATGTTGAAGAGAAAATGCTACAGTTATATTTTCAGAACTAAACTTTGACCAAATAAAACTTTCGTATAAACACAGGTAAAAGTATTTTTCTAGATGCCCTTTCAATGCGGCTGCGTCTCCTGTGGCCCAGCACCCCCTGCTGGTGGGCGGCATAATTGTCCCGCCTTCCTGGATGTCAGGCTGATAACAGAAGGAAAACTAGCTCACTGTTTTCATTTTTCCTGAATATGTTAAGCGAGAAGCAAATTATTTTTCTTTTGTGCAGAAACTATTTATTGTTCAGAAATAGCTTTGATGGAGGAATTGTTTCCTGTGCCCATGTTTGACTTTTTAATTTGAATGCCAGGCTCTCTGTCCATTTTGTTCCTGGGCACAGGGCAGACCGAAGAGCCTCCCCTGCCGGGTCCAGTGGGGGCGCCCTCACCTCCGGAGGCGCGGCACGCCGCGAACTGCGCGCCAGCGGTTTGGTGCGCCAGCAGCCCGGCGTTTTTCTTTTATTTTTACAATGACAAGCAGTATATAACCAAAAATACAATGCTAATTTACTACCACAAGGGAATTATTCTTTTGCCATCACTGATGGTTCATGAGTATCTTGTCGAATAACTGGGTCTGTTAACAAGAAAGGAAGTTATATTTCTTACCATGTTTTAAGTTGTTAAGCAAATGTGAATACTTTTTCTAAAGAAAAGAAGAGGCTTACTCAAATTTGTGCACCACTCATAATTTTAGGGTCAGAGACTGCGTGGAACAGCCACTTGAGAATATTTTTCTACCCAGTTCTATACTTCTGCCATTTTCTTTAAAAAGAAGTTATGTTGTATCACATGTTAACATATTCTTGGTCTTATATATCAAAGAATAAAAGTGTTTGCTTTGCTTTTAATGGATTTCTTTCCTTGTGTTCGGAGTAGCAGAAAGAACCTCGGTGCTGACAGCAGTCTGGAGTGTCCAGTGCGGGTGGGACCTGGGCTGCTCACCACGTGCCCGGTGCAGGCCCTGTTTGCTCACTGACTCTCTTGCGTGTTCCCCGAGGCAGGCACTGTCCTCATTTTACAGATGAGAAAATGGGCCCAAACTCAGGTAGTAGATCATTTTAAATTACCGAATTATACTCATGTTTGGTGGGAGATTGTTATGTCTTAGGCCCAGAACCTTCTTTTGAGGTCCTTTTGAGAAAACTTTTCTGAATACTTACTTAGTTACAGCTTTTCCGAAATATACTCGGGTTTGCAAAATTTCCATGGACACGCTATCGTTCTGATATCACTAACTGCGGGCCACAGCCGCGCGATCCCCATATGGAGGAAATCACCAGTGTTATGGCGACAGAGGGAGGACCAGTGGCTCTGGAAGAGTCAGGCACACGTGGCTGTGTGAGCCGGAGGCAGCCGGTGCCTGCCGGTGCCCAGTTTCAAGTCAGGGACGCTCCTGCAGCGGGCATTCGCCCTCACAGCCTGATGAGACATCACCACAGAGACCAGAAGTGCTGGCGAGGACGTGGAGGAAAGGGAACCCTGGTGCACTGTGGGGGGGAATGTAAACTGGCGCAGCCGCTGTGGGAAACAGCACTGAGGGTCATCAAAAAATTAAAAATAGAACTACCTTATGATCCAGCAATTCCACTTCTAGGTATTTAAAAAACCCAAAATGCTAACTTAAAAAGACATATGCATCCCTATGTTTGTTGCAGCTTTTTTAAAAATAGGCAGCCCATGGCCACACCCTCAGTGTCTATCACTCATAATTGGATGAAGCTTTGGAGCATCTCTGCAATGGAACGTGACCCAGCCCTGAAAGAGGACGAGACCTTACACGCCAGAGGCACCAGGCCAGATGCGACGGCGTGGCTGGATGGAATGAGTGAAGTCAGTAAGGAGGGGAACCGGCCCCGCGCCTGTGTGTGCGGTGACAGCACATGTGTGCACACATACGTGTGAGAAAGTCGACCCCAGGACACCCACCAGGTTCCACAAGGACGCACACATGGGTCCCACACCCCCGCCAAGCCACGGCACCACCTCTACGCCTCACAGGGCTGCCCCTCTGCCCACCGGGCTGCAGACCCCTCAGTACCCACCCCAGGCTCGGGCTTCTCTGTGCCCGAAATCCTCCTCACTGCACACGACAGTGCACACCACTGGACAGTGGCCATGGTGCCGCTCCAAACCCTCCTTCCTTCCCACCCTGCTGCCCACCCCAGCACCCCACACCCACGGGGCCCCACAGGGTTGCCCCTGAGTCTGACTGAGAGGGACGGGGAGGGGAGAGATGGGCTGTTGCTCCAGGCACACAGACGTCCTGCCATAGAGCGCTACCAAGTGCATTTCCTCACCAAAGCTGTAGCCAGAACTTGCCTTCTTCTCGACTCTGATTCCCACATCTCCTGGTGGTGTCCTCCCTGACCCTGCAGCGCAGACTCAGTGCAGCTCACAGCTGTGGACTGGGGGCTCCGTCGGTTCCTGCTTCATCCCCAGCATTAGGCAGAGACTTGTATGTACCAGAGCCCAGAGGATACGTGGAGAATAAATCACGATGGTGACGTAGTTTCGGGAAAGAGGCAGGAGGAAGTGCCTGCAACCGTGTCTCTGCAGGCAGCTTGCAGGGTGGGACGGGCTCTGCCTTATTCAAACTCGCCAGGTGTGGTGATGAGGGTTTTTTCCAACAAACATGAAATATGTGTCAAGACCAGAAATTTTTTTGCTGCTTTCTGGCTCCTTGCCTGTCTGCTCTGCAGAGAGTCTCCGTCCCTGGGCTTCTGGGCAAGGGGGGTTGGGGGCAGGGTGTGGAGCTGTGGGGCATCCCCAGCCCTGTGAAGACCCCAGAGACAGAGCTGCCGTGAAGGGCGCACCTGCGGCCTCCGTGCTGCAGGAGGAAGCTTCTGCAAGGCCGGTTCAGGCAGGAGAACCGGCCCCTCTAAGGCACTGTTACTGGTTTTCTTGCGCTGTTTTCAAAGGTAATAAAGACATTTTAATTACTCGTGTGTCCTAGAACTTTGCTGTTGGAGGTGATCAACAGTCAAGCCAGTGACCTGCTCGCTGCCTCTTGAATGCCAAGCATTGAAACATGCGCAGTCGGGCAGCGCCTTCACCAAGGACCGTGAGGATTCTGCACAGACTTCCTGGGCCGACCGGATGTAATCACTTTTCCAACCGCAACACACTTAGATGACACACCACTTACATTTTTAGACAAATAAATACACGTTGGCTTTCTGTAGAATACAGAAGACACAAAGAAGAAACTGCTAGCCTCACCATGCATGTGTGGCTGGGGCCTTGCCGCATGTCACTTCTTGTGACACATGCTTCATAGTTGAGCCATACTGGTACCTTGGACACTCAGAGTATTAGTTAAAAGCAAATGAAAGCAATTATTTGCACACCCATGTTCACAGCAGGATTATCCCCAATAGCTGAATATGCAAGGAGCCCAAGTGTCCACGGGAGATGGATGGGTAAGAAAAGCATGGCCCCGCCCCACAGTGGGACGTCTCTCAGCCTCAGAAGGAAGGGGGTCCCGACTCACATACAACGTGGGTGGGGCTGGAGGCCACGACGCTCAGTGAAACGGGCCGGGCGCACGGAGACCAGTGCTGAGAGGTCTCACTCAGGGGAGGTGCATGGAGTCGTCAGAGTCAGAGACGTCTCTCTGTGCCGTCACGGCGGTGCACACCACTGTCCTGGCTGATGTGCTCAGAAGTACCAACAATGCTGGGAAGAGGGGCACTCGCTGGGTCTTGTGAGCCTGTGCTTCAAAGTCACGGTCTGGTTTCCAACTCTGCTGATGAACACAGTTACGTCGGCGAATTTCAAGTTACTGATGACCACAGAGCTGCCAAAATGGTTGTGAACCTCACAGGCAGGTGAGACGGGTGTGGGGCCGTCAGCCCCAGATTTGATGAGTAACTCAAAGATCTAGAAAGATGGCAGCACAAGCTGCTCCCATCCCATCAGTTTGGTTTCATTGTACTGACAACCTCAGCAGGTGTCATGGACTATGAGGAAGCCAGAGAGAAGCACACAGGAGGGAAAATCCTGGGGTCCTTTCTGTGGGGATGTAATGCACACATACACATAATGCCTTGCTGGAAAAAAATCAGAGATGGAAAGTACATGGCGGGTGTGTGGGGCCGGGGAGGACAAGGGGCAGTGAGTGTTTAAAGGGGACAGAGTATCAGTTTGGGAAGATGAGGTAGTTCTGGGGAGGATGCTGGCCGCGGCTGCGCAACTGTGTGGGTGTACGTAATGCCACTGAGACGTGCACTGAAAAATAGTTAAGATGGTAAATTTTCTGTGTATTCCACCACAGTAAAAAAAAAATGGGAAAAAAGCAAATGAGTGCAGCTTCCGGTTGTAAGCACTTTAGGAACACATTTCTGAACCCTTAGCTGATTTGTTCACGGAGGTCCCTGACTTTCTCTTCAGGGCCCTGTGTACAATCATTCATTTGTGCACAACCCCATTTGTCTGTGGCCTGATAATACTTTAGGACCAAAAATAAAGGGAGCGATGTCATTTTTGGGGTCCGTGCTTGAAGGGACCTCAAAAGGCCACACGATAGTGTTTTGATGACACCTGTTTTGTATTACACATCACGGGTATGATTTTTTTACAAATCGAAGGCAAGACCCTCCACCAGCAAAAAAGCAGGAGTCCCTTTATAGTGAGACTCACTTTATCGCCGTGGCTGGTCCTTAACTGCAAGGAACACAGTGGCTGATTTAAGCTTTGGGGGCTTCTGGTGGGAAAAGTGAGGGCAATGAGGTCTGGGCTGGATGGCGGTAACAGGACGGTGGTGTCTTCCAACTTGGTATGAAATTTAGTCCCCACAAGGAAAACCCAAATGGACACCATCTCCTTCCAGCGAAGACAGGACCGGTGTGCCCCTTACATCCTGTGATTCGAAAGACGAAAGTCTTTCTGCCCTTCCTTGGCACAAGCACAGTGGACACAGAGGTGAGGGAACTGTCCCCACCTATTGGGAGAGCAGCCCCGGTAGCGCAGAGTAGCTGCTGCAGCCCCCCACGCGGGGTTGTCTCTCCTCACCACTGGGCTGTGCTGGTTGCCAGGTTTTCTTCTACCCTCGACCCAGATTCCAGAGGCCTCCACAGATGGGGAGGATCCAGGATTGCGTCCAGTTGGTTGGGTGTCATCCCACAAAGTGAAGGGTCGCTGGTTGGATTCCCAGTTGAGGCACATGGCTGGGTTGCAGGTTCAGTCCTGGGTCAGGGCATGTGCCAGAGGTAGCCCATTGATATTGCTCTCTCACATCCATGTTTCTCTCCCTCCTTTGTCCTCTCTCTAAAAATAAATAAACAAATAATAATAAAATACTTGTATTCATCCTGAGGCAGCATATGCTAGGAAATAAGCCAATCACTCCATTTGGCTCTTGCTTCCCCAGGTACCCACTACAGGCCAAGAAGAGTTGCTCCACCCTCTGCCAGTTTGCTCTTCGGCAGGAAGAAAAGCTTCACATGTGTCTCCCACAGGATTGATCTGTTACTCTGATGGGCAAAGACTTCAGGTGCCACACAAATACTAAGCACTGTCAAGAGTCACATTCTGCTGAAACATCAGAAAAGCACACATTTCTCATGGGGAACCTCCGAATTCGCCTTTAAAGAAAGCCTTACTATCATCAAACAACTTACCAGGTACCAGTTCATGAATGCTCTCTTCCCACTCCCAGCAATGTACGGAAGCAGTAAGGTAAGTTCAGGAGGTGGGTTTCCCACCAGTCAGACAGGAAACGTTAGATTCAGGTTCAGATTATACCGTGTTACACTTCTAACTGGGCACTTGTGGGCTCCCTCTGCCTTCGAGTTGTAAGGATGGATGGTTGGGTGGGTAGATGGAAGGATGGATGGATGGACAGATGGAC